CGGGCAGATGGAAGCTCGTTAGCCCGTAAGGCAATCCATCTACGTCCTGAGGACCTCGCTGCCACCGTCCAAGCATGCTTGGCCCTGGCAGATGAACCTCAGGATTAAAGGGTGGACTCAGTTCCGCGCACACTGTGTCTCACCTAAAAAATCCAATGCGCAGGCTGGAAGGTGTAAAGACCTTCCCCGGTTCTTCATTCGCAAAGAGACTGGCCATTACAATACCCACCAGGCAGCTTTAAGAGTCCAAATAGTCAGGATAGAGCTGCATGTCATCTGGGAAAGCAGGCAAGGACCAAAGTAGAGGCTTTACTGGGGAGCAGGGCATTTGTTCTGCAGCACAAGGATTAACATACTTCTGCAGCCGTGGTTTAGCAGCCATCACAGGGAAGGATGGGATTCACCAAGGACAGGAAAGTCCCCTCCCTAATTCAGGCACAGCTGAAAAAACAATCTGATGCTAGTTTAGTGTCCAGGGAAAGGAAGGAGCAAGAATTCCTTTATGGGAGCAGAAATAGGAGGATGAGCAGAAACAGAAAGCATGAGGAGGAAAGTATACACAGCATGTTGGAGCTGGAGTCCAAGAAAACTCCTGGGGAGAGTGTGCCATTCCAGTCTGCTGCCCTCCATTAAAATCACACATCCTGATATAGGCAGCTGTCATTTTTCCAGCAGAAGATGAGATTCAGAAAGAAGAAGTGGCTGTGGCTCATCCCCTCACCTCCAGTGAAGCATCCAAGGCACAAGAAGAACTTTAGGGCAAAGTGTAATGCATTTTTAGGTGTTACAGGAAACAAAAAAAAAAAAAAAAAAAAAAAAAAAAAAAAAAAAAAAAAAAAAAAAAAAAAAAAAAAAAAAAAAAAAAAAAAAAAAAAAAAAAAAAAAAAAGAGAAAAAACGAACAAACAAAACAAAACACACACACAAAAAAACCAACCAACCAACCAAAAACCCACCCACAAGAACAACGTTCTTTTGGCTACAAATTTGGAACACTTGCACACAGGAGGCTCAGGATTCCACTGGGTAGGAAACGCTGGTATACGGGAGACGCACGTTACCCTTCTGGGACCCAACATCCTGAGGATGGATCTGGACAAACCGGGAGGCCAGCCCAGTGGAAGGCAGGAAATCCCTGCAGGAGATGAGGCAGAACAACGGGGCAGGCAGACAAGGCTGGAAATCTGTTTCTCTCCCAGGAGATGGCAGTAAAGGACAATTGCCTTACAGCCGGCGTAGCGCAGTGAAGCAGAAACTGTGGGGAGCCAAACAGCCCCTCAGGCAGCCTGCGCTGCCACCTCCGCCAGTCGCTCCTTGTTACCAGAAGCAAAGCTTTATTCTTAGCGTCAGTGCTCCTAGCGAGGGTGAGGATATCAGTCTTTTAAATTTCCATACAGCAGGTAAATTTATAAGCTTTCTGCATACCATGGCAGGATTCCATTCACAGCCTCATCCAAACTGGAAGGATCCCAGGGAGTTTCTCCTCCAGCCTCCTCCTCACGGCAGGGTCAACACTGCATTCACACTGGGTTGTCCTCCACTTTGAACAGTCATGCCTTGACATCCTCCATGGACAGACACTTCCCAGCCTCCTGAAGAAACCTCTTCTTTCAATGCTTATTGATCATATTAGTGTCCCCAGTTTGAATTTATGACCATGGCCTCTTGCTGTCTGGCTGCAGTCCACAGTGAAGAGCCTGGCTCCATCTTTTTGGCAATCTTTTCTTAGGTCTTGAAAGCTGCTGTCAAGTCTCTCATAAGTCTTCCCTCCTCCAGCTGAACAAGTCAGAAGTCCTGTCCCTGTCCTCATATGTGATACAGGATTCAGGAAGGTGCACCACCCTCTCTGACCTGAGGCTAGACTTCACCCCAAACCTGAACAAGCCTGTCAGCCTCGTGCTGCTTCCTACAAGGAGAAGGAAGGCAAGGATTTTATTCCTTTACTTTTTTTTTAATTTAATTATCTCTATTAGTCTACAAGCTCTTCAGACACTCTACTGGTCCTTGAAGAAATAAGGATTTCCAAAGCACACTGTTCAGGTAACTGCAGGAACTTCATACACATTTTAGGACCAATTTTGTCTCAGAAGAGGCCAGTGTCCAACTAACAAGGGACTCGGGATACAGAAAAAGAGACAACTCATTTTACAGCACCCCAACACAAAACCTGCCCCTGTCCCAGTCTTACAGACAGGCTGAGGTCAGGAAGGTCATTCATCCCTGAAGTGAACCTGGTGTGCCATGGTGTAGTACAGCTCTCCTCAGTCACTGCACTTCAAAAGCAAGCTGTGCTACAGTGTTTCCTTGCTGCTAATGTTGCAGGACAAAGGACAATAGCTATGAGTCCTTTGCCATTTCCTCAGAGCCTATGGTAAGCCAGAGTAGTAATCAAATACTCTGGCAAAAACAGCTGAAATATGCTTTATTCTGCTCTGTGACTCACCGAGGAGTCATTAGGAACAGCCAGGGATTTAGATTAAAAGTGACTTGCCAGGCTGTCAGGTTATGGAGTTCATTCCTAGGCTGACTACCTCCTTCTTGCCACTCCTGCATGTATTCAGCTTCCCAAAATTATTTATCCTGCCATTTGTTCTAAAGCATAGTGAAAGGTGTGTAGAAATCTGAAGGGAACCAGATAGCACAGTAACACACCACTGGAGACAAAAACCTGTCAGGTGAAGCAACTCCACACAAGTGCCTGAGGGAGGAACATATTTCGTCTAGCTCAAATGTCAAATCAAATCTTCCCCCTGTACTCACTGTACCGTAGTATCCAGCACATCTCACCTTTGTGAGAGAGTCAAGTGTCTGTTTTGTTCCTCAAAAGCACGAGGAGATAAGCTGCAGACAAGCCTATTTTAATAAAAGAGCCTGTGTGCACCTCTGGGTTAAAAGCTCTGCCTGCTGAGGTGGCTCCTCCAAGGATAGCCTTGCTAAGAGCACAAACTGCCTGTGCAGAAGCCAAGTCAATCCTGGACTCCCCTCCCAGCTTGCCACACTGTCAAGGGCTGCCCGGGGAGCCAAACCTCCTCCAAGTCACTCACAGAATTCCAGCTCAACAGCTCTGTTTCAGATGGAGGTTGCTATTTCTTGTTGGTTGAGTGGGCTGACCTGCCACTCAATGCTGAGTTAGTCAGGGAATATTTCCTCATCTCCTACATCACAGAGACAACATTTAGCAACAGCGCTGCAGGATCTGTGCTGTCCCACCTGTTTGCATCAGCGCTAAGCCAGATCTGGCCCAGCAGGGATGCTGCCATGACTGACAGGAACTCTGCCATCTACCTCGCTGAAAACTGAACCTCACCCTTCAGATTCAGATTCTCTGGATGCTGCTGTGTCAGCTGGGCTATTGAGGAGAGTGGTAAACCCTCAGGCCGAGGCTTGGCCTCACAAATGCACTTCACCAGCTGAGGAGTGAATCACGGCTCAAAGAGAACTGATAAGCAGCACTAATTAGTAGCCTCGGTGAGAACCATCAGTTCATTTTGAGGAAGGAGAATGAATCACCACCTGTTTTATGGCAACAACACAGGTTACTTGCTTACTTTTTCTTTCTCTCTCCTCTTTCTTTGTTTTTGGTCTGTTTTAGAAACACCACTCAGCTGACGCTGACCCATCAATGTGCATCCAGCTCTGCTTTTCTCAGGCTCACACAGAAACACCACGTACGTGTCATTCGGGTCCCGTATGGATAGCAAGCAGACTATTCTCTTAAAGTTGCACCAGGTGAGCAGAGACCATAGTTCGGGAGCTAAAGTTCATGTTTACCTTAGTGGAAAGTCCCTGCACTGAACAGGCTGGACCCTGCATGTTGCAATGAGTGAGCAGACTTTCTAGTCAGAGAAATAGATGGACACTAACTTCACACAGAAGAATGGAGCCACGAATCCCTTCTGCATGGCTTCAGTAATTTAAACAAAAAGGTCTAATGATTCATGCTGTAAAAGCACTGTAAAAGATAGAGTGGTGTAACAAAATCTAAAGTTAATACCACACTCTGCAGGCTGGTGTGGCACGTGGGTGGTAGGACAGCCCTGTTCTTACTGCAGAAGAGACAGTCGATATCAACAACCCTCTGGCCTGCTGGTGGGGCAGATCAGAGGAATGGGTCTGTCCCCTCGAAGAAGCTCAAGACAAACAACTAAAGGCATAAAATCGATGAGTGAAATCCCACTGTGGCTATTCCTACCCCAACTTGTGCAACCTTAGATCCTCTGCAGCCTCATCTCCACACCTTGCCTTTCCTGAGCCCATCCATGCAGTCTGGGCTACAACTGAGTCCTTCTGGAAGGGCACTGAGGCCACAGGCAAAACAACGTGGGGAAGTTTACACTGCAGCTTCCCCTCGCTGCCTGCACCACCGCTGAGAGACTCCTCCTCTGAGTGCTTACTTGTGTGTGTAGGTAAAAACACGACATGGATCTCATTACTTTTATTTACAGACCAGTCAGAAAAGAGGATAAACCCACCCCCAACCCCTTTTGAATCATTTGCTACATTTAAAAGAAATACAGTGTGGTTTGCTAAGACATACAAACCCCTTCATTCAGAGAAGGCAAAGCAAGCAATTTCCATTTAAGTAAACTCCTTGATTACAAACACTATCAAAACTAGAAAGATCTATAACACACAGAAAGTGCTACCAGGGAAGTCTTTTACTGCTACCACAAAAGACTGACAGAAACAAACTAACAAAACTCACAGAATTTTTAAGGCCCATAAATCACCTTGTTCCTGTGTCATCAATACAAGATTTACATCCCTGGAGGTGCAACATGGAAGCTGCCCCACCTGCATTACTGAGCTGAACCATCTGACATTGACATCCTCTGGCTACAACTTCCAGATACGGAAATGAAGATGGAGCTGGCAGGTTATTTGGCCCAATTCTTATAAACAAGAGTTGTACATTCTTACACCAATGCTGTATGTATTTTTTTTTTTCAGATGCAGCTGGCAATCCACCTTTTTCCCTGGTGAACACAAGAGAACTAGGTGTTTTTATGCCCCAGCTTCCAGAATCGGGTATGTCAGATACAAACTCTGTTCTTGGTAAAAAAACATCTGCAGATTTTGTAGTAGCAGAGGAACAAGTTTAAAATGTTGATCACAGTGAACCTTTGATGCCCCAAAATCAGAAGACATACAAAACTCATTCTCTTTCTGGGTTTTTACATCATTCTTAAGATTTAAAGGCTCATTATGTCCAGCGTTTGAAATGAACAACCAAGACGCAATGAAGCTCTCCGTGTCTCAGGCCACAGTCCATTTACATCCAAGTATATTTTTAAGTATACTCACAATCTTAACCCTCCCAGGGGAAAAAACCTCCACCAAATCACAAAAATACCTCTGAAACCCAAATACTATCTTTTCCTAAACCTTCGTTATCTGTTTCCTCCACTGCTTTGACAATTCCTGTCCCTACCCAAACTCATCTCCACCTTCCCAGCTGCTCTCATCCTCTATTTTCTTTCGTTTCTCTCTCCCTCATCTACTTGCTTTTCCATTCTTCCTTGGCTCTCTTTCACACACAGCACGAAGCTCTAGAAAACAAACTCGTGTCTGAGAACAAACTCCTGCTCAATTAATCAAAGATTTTTCCCTCATCCTTGCATTTCTTTGACCCAATCTGATTTTACAAAGCGCTGGAAGTTTTTGCAGAGAAGAGCACTCAGTCTTGGAAAAGGGGCTGGCACAGGGGTGTGGGGCTGGGACTGTTGGTCCAAGAGGTTTCTCGGATGCAGGTCTCAAATTTAATCCAGAGAAAGCTGCAGTAGCCTCATGTCCCTCTCCATGGGGTGCACGGAGCTGCGCTAGCGGACGAAGTTTGCCACCTGTGTTGCCACTCCGAAGGGAGCAGAATAGGCTGCCGCTAATCCTTGCAGGCCAACCACCAAGTAGCGACATCCCTTCTGCAGAGCTTTGCCGACATTCTGTGAAGAGAGATGAGGAAAGGGGATAAAAAAAAAAAAAATGAGAGGCCGCAGAAAACACCTTCACATGAAGTTGTTCTGACAACCAGTGTCGCCATCCCAGAAAATTAACTTCTCCCACAGCTAATGGAGGGCTTGAGCGTGGAAAAACATGTTACCATCTATTTTTGTATAGAAATACACACCCACAGGGTATAGTTAAACTGAACGGATGCAGCCTCCACAGGAAGCCAGGCTTTCACGTGGGCTGCTATTCAAGAACAAAATTAGTTCAAATTCACCCTAGTTTGTAGAGGTGCATGTTTCCCACACACACATGTTCTAACTACGTTAGTAACTCTAAGAGCACATAAGGTGTTAAAACTGGAACTGAACAAAAAGACAGTAATCACTGAGAATACATTTGTGGAAATTTCATTGCTTTTTGTCGAACTAAGACTTTTTTGGCCAAAATAAGAATGTTTCAATCCATTTTCATGTCTGTACATGTTTAAGAACTCCTCTGTGTACTGCATAAGAGAGATAACTTGTTACAGACTATTTAACTGAAAACCTTAATCTAATTTTAATTTCACTTCTGATGGGTTTTGCTCATATGGTTGAGGAACAAATACAGTGTGGTCAGTTGGGGAGGAATATCATAATTAATTGTTAGTTAACTCCTCATGGTTGTGTGGAACTAGATCAAAAGCATCTCTTGTAACATGGAAAACATTAAAACAGAGTAAATACTTTAAAATCAGTGAAACTCAGTCAATATTATATTTCTTGGGTTTCTTTAATCTGGATTACAGTGGTACTGTCACAGGAAAACCTTCAGCTGTCGTGATACCACCACATAGCTGAATTTTGCTGGTTTTATTCCTATGGAAACTTACTTGAAGGGAATTAAGATGCCAAAATAAAAATGCAGATCGATCTTGGGGGCAGAGCCTGAGGCCAGAGGCAGAGTCACACAGCCTGCCCTTCCCACACCTGCCTCAGTCTCACTGTCACACTGGAGACTTCTTCCTTCCTTTCTGCCCTGTGCAACTCTACCTACCCAGACCTTACCTGCACTTTTATGACTTGTTCTTTATGCCAGGGCCAAGCTGGCAAACCTTCCCTGTAGGAATGTCATCTGACCAGCAAAAAAGGGAATACGCAGTGTCCAAGAACTGGCCTGTGCTCTGATGGTTGTTGTAAGTGTCCCTGTACCAACAGCACATACAGCAATAGCACCAGAAGCAAAGTTATGACCCGCTGCCATGTAACCACAGTCACTAAACTGCAGCGTACAGATTGAGCCTGCTGGCATGAGACAGCTTCCTACTGCTTATGACCTGGAAATCATGGAGCTGGAAACTCAAAGTATCAAATGCATCACAAAAGAATGAAATATTCTATTCAAATCTTTATGAAACAGTAGGATTTAAGGGAGAGCTCCTGACTATGCTGACATTATTTCAAAACAGTTTCAAAAGTAAGTAACTTTGTTGAGCTGACTGGCATTTTCTGCATGTCAGACATAGCAAGCATAGCTTTACCAAAATCATCACTTTTAAAAGAATGCAGTAGAAAGTCAGGGCTCACACTGACATCTGTAATCTCTGCAGTAGGAAAAGAATCCTGACGACAGAGAGGTTTTTCCTGCTAACATAGAAACTATTTTTTGCTACAAATATCCAAGACATACCTGAGATGTACTTAAGTGACATAAACAAGAGAAAAATAATCGAATTCTGCCACATAGCACTTTTGTAACCAAAGACAGTCGTGTTGTGGTGGGAAGAAAATCAAATCACCAGACTGTGGGGCTGGTGACTTCCCACATAGAAGCAAAAGAACAGTTTTGATCCAAAATAGCCGTTACAGATGAAGAACATGTTGCACTTTTTTTTGTAACTCATAGCAGTGATTTTCAGGGGACACCTAGAAGGCAAACTTGGCCAAGGAATGTACTGGAGGGATGTTTACCATTTCAGTAGAAGGGGGAAAAAATGCAGGCCAATTAGTTAACTGGAAGTGTTAAGGAATAGTGTTAAAACAATGACGCCGAGGGAAACGCAGAGCCAAGAAAGGCAAAGTATCCGTCACATGGATCAGCTTAGTGTCATTTTCACTCCAAAGAGGCAGATTTTGTATTCTTTGATCCAGGCGAGGGTCGGTGTCTGGCCCTCCCCAGCATCACCGGCTCCTTCCCGGGAAGGTCCAGAGCAAGCCCGCGGACTGACCCAGCCTCGGAGCTGGGCGCTAGCACTGAAATGCTCGAGGGACAAGGGGCACTTCCCAGAGCCCCTCGGAACAGTCGGGGCCGAGACCCCGCCGCCTGCCCCCTCCGCGGGTCCCCGCGCCGAGGATCCCTGTGCCGGGGATCCCTGAGCCGAGGGTCTCTGTGCCGAGGATCCCTGTGCCGGGGATCCCTGTGCCGAGGGTCCCTATGCCGGGGATCCCTGTGCCGAGACTCCCCGCTCCGGCCGCCCCGGGCGCGCTGTGCCCTCACCTTCCCGTACTTCTTCAGCCTCTTCCCGTAGGGCCGCTTGCCGGGGGCCCGCGGCGGGCGCAGCGGCTCGTAGGAGCCGGGCAGGACGGCGAAGCGCACCTTCCTGGAGCCCGTGCCCTCCTCCTCGTCCAGCACCACCGCCTGCGGGACCCCTGCGCTGCCCCCAGGAGCCGCCGCCGCCGCCGCCTCCTCCTCCTCGCCGGGCAGGATGGAGACCTGATCGTCGCCGGGCCCGCGGCGGGAGAACCTGCCCCTCACCTTGACGCCCAGCCGCGCACCCACCGTCATGGTGCCGCCGGGCGCCGACCCGTCTGCGCCAACCTCCGGGCGCTTCCTCCGCCGCTGCGCCACAGGTGTGGCCGGAGGCGGCCGCTGCCCCCTCCCCGGGGCGGGACGGCTCCAGGAAGAGGCACCCCGGCCCCTCTGGGCCGTGCGGACACCGGAACGGGGCGGGGGGCGAAGGCTGGCGGTGCCCCCGGCGCCGGACCCCGACCCCACTGCCGCTCTGGTGCGGAAAACTTGTTTCAGCTTGCTGGAGAAGCCGGGACCTCCCGCGGGAAGCCCGGGACTCGACCCCGTCAGCTCAGAGGGGACGGGAGGGTCGCTGGCGGGAGGTGTAGGCCCCGCACCGCCCCCGGGCTGCTTCGGTGTCCGCGCCGCGACGGCTAGAGAAATCCCTGGAAGCTCCTTCTCTGGCACGGCACTCATTGCACTGGCCGACGGCAGCACCGCACTTGGAGGTCACGCTCTTTTCCCGTCAGAGAAAAAAGCCAAGCTCCCTGATCTGCTCCCTGAACTTCTATCGGTGTTCCTACTACAGCCTCAGGTGAACAGCCTCTCCTGCGTCCAGGGATGTGTTCGGCTCCCCCTAGCCAAGGGGAAAGTGCCTAAGCCTTCGCTGAAAGGCAGAGTTTCGCCGTGGTTTCTTCCCAGATGTGCGGGAGGCGGATAGCCGCGTGCCTCTGCGGCTGGGCGTGCTGCAGTTCAACAACTTGCTCTTCCTGAGCGGTGCTCCTAAGCTGGGGTAGATCAAGAAAAGCAAAATTGTATAGGGAGGAGTGATATAATTTGTTCAACCAGTTGGTATGTTTATCAACATTTGATACGCATACAAACACTTTTGGACAATGGACTTCTCTTACCAAGGAACAAAGCCTTGAACCTGTGTCTCCCCAAGATGCTCCCATAACACTCAGCAAGTAGATCCTGCACTTAGCTTTGTCATCTGCCCCAAGGACGGTGGTTCACCACTGTCACAGCTCCAGCTGGAAATCTGTGACAGACAAGTGGGCCAGTCCTGCTGAAGGGTGGGAGACATGAGCTAAGTCTTGGGTCTGTTGCTACAGGAGAAGTGCTCTGTCCCTTTCCCTGTTCCATATTAAGTGTCACTGCTCCCGTTACCATCATCACGTTTTTAAGTCTCTAGAAGGTTGAGGTGGAGACTTAAACCCAGGACAACACTTCGTGCTCTGAGTACATTGCAAACAAACACTTGCCACAGACTGCTCCTGGCACTCAGAGTTCCTCCTTCCTCTGGGCTCCGACTGCGGCAGCGCCTGCAGGGCCCATTTCTGAGCTCCTGGGGCCAGATGCTGAGCTTTCATCCTGGAGCTGCAGGTGTGTCCTGAACGCTGAAGAGACAGTGAAACAGAGTAAGCACCACAGGTCCACAGTAACTGTGTGGTGCAGAGCCTGAAGCAGTGAGGTATAGGAGGTAAATTTTGCACTGCTGTAGATTTTCATGTGCTACTTCCTTGGTTTGAGGGTTGAAGTAATTGCTTGATGTTGATTAAGTGGTAGCATCAAGAAGTAAAATATCAATAATCTGTTTAGCAGCTGCAAAATGGAATCTTTCATCTTGTTAACCGGAAGCTACCTTCAAAAATCTTAAAGAAAAAAATGCATTAAATGTTTTTCTGGGGCTTTGGAAAGTGTTTATGTATAAGTTTTCTATTTATAGATCCATCAGTGAATATATACTTGCCCCTAAATTGAAAAGCAGAGAGAGGGAAAGATTACGTCTTCTCAAGAGGGACAGGCCTTTCCCCAGACTGGGTTTGTAAATCACATGTTTGCGTCATATTCCAAATTCAGCTACCAAAACCTCAGAGAATACATTTCTCAGCTGAGATTTACTTTCTCCATTTGCATGGCAGCAGGGGACTCACAGCATGTTCTGAGATGAACAGGTCCAAGGTACCTTTAGGAGCATGACCCTGGGCATCAAAATCTCATGTCTGAACTCATGGAATTTTAGCACCATCATAACTATATGGCATTAATGACACCACTTGCTTCTCCAGCCATGTTGTTCACTCAGTGGAGCAGGAGTGAACATTTATAGTCCTTTCACTGAACTATATACATTTTAATGTTTTAAATTGGACTGTGTGAAAAGAGATGCACTAAGTTTGGAAGTGTCTGTATACCTTAAAGAAAGAAAGAATTCAAAAAACCACTCCAACCCAAACCATGCAGTAGCCCAACTGCTCACCCTAAACCCACCCCAAATACCTCCCAGAAATGCTGCCATGAAATTACAGTTGAATATGTAAGCCCTCTGAAGACCTGAGGCATCCCTATCCCTGCCTGGACCTGTGAAACATGACACAGCATTTAAAACGCTTCCAAATTTCTGAAGTTAAAGCTGTGCTGATAAAACACCAATCGTCTCCCACATGGAAGCCAAGAACATGTGGATCCAAAATGCAGCTTATCCCACGCTTATCCAAGGAGTAACTTATATGCAACAGGTCCCTTACAAGGCAGCTGTTCAGAGACCCAAAAAACAGGCACTGAGGATTTAGTATACACCATCTCACTGATTTTCACGCTAAATACACTCTACTTGCCAATAAAACCAGCAGTTCTGAAAAACCTCTCTTTCTTGGATCTTCCCATCTTACTTCTGCCAGGGGTAGGAGATTCGGAAAGCCAAAAGCTGCATTTGGGTGCAGCTACACCTTTCACGTTCAGATTATGCCCTTGCTGAAGCACCTGGTGTATTTGCCATGGAGAGCATTCGGTGGTTCACAGCTCATATTCCAGCAAGGCAAAAGGGAGGAGGGCAGCAGGGTTTGGGAATCAGGGTGGTTTTATACTGCTGGCAGTCACTGGAAATTTTTGTATCATGGGAGAGTTAAACTAAAATTTTTTAAGCTCTCTCCTCTGGAAACACTATCTGTGTTTTCTGTAACATTAGTACATCTCTGGTTATATGGAGCAGGGAAAAGCAGTGGCAATCTAGGGCAAAGTTAGCCACAGAAAAACAGTGCCTGTAAAGCAGGAAGCTATCCTAAGTACTTAATCTACTGTCTTACAGCATGACCTATATTTTTTCCACTGAACCTTCTGAAAAGGTGAAGGGTTTTGTTTCATGACTAAGTTCATACAAAACCTTGCATTAGCATCGTGGTTGTGTTCCAGTTGTGTATTTTCAAGGATAACTGAACATTTATGGATAAATTGAGCAGACACAAAACCCCCTCGCAAGGCTGATTTTTGGTGAATTTCTGAAAAGCTCTTGGACATCTATTTCTAAGAAATCCTAAACCACCGACAGTTTCTTGACAGCACAGGATCACCGAACCGCTGCAAAGCTAATCCTGAATTCACACGATGTTGAAGATGAAGCCTGTGCACCTTTAAACTATTTTGGTACCCATGGTAATTACTGCACTTTTATAAAGGGCAAACAACAAGTATTTTAGTATGAGAACTGTTCAAGTAAGTTTTAATAGAGTGCACCAGTGAATCAAGATGACTTGCATCAGATTTTGTTTCAATGAACATCAGATAAAAAAAAAGAAAAAAAAAAAAGAAAAGGGGCTACAGTTCTTTCTTTCCAAACACCACCCTTTTTCTAAGGCAACAATACACGTCCATTTCCGAACATAACTGTTACATAGGAAAGCTACATCACAGTACAGTATGTAAAGTCCATCTCGGTCAAGAAGCCATTAGAGAATGGCACATTTACTACACTTACAGCCTTTTAACTTAGGGTTACAGAGTTTACCACAGCTTTTTTTTTAATTTTTATTTTTAAAGTGACAATTTCTTAATGAATTTTCTATTCTTCACAAGAGTGTGCAGATGGGGCCCATATGTTGATATTACAGTAATTACGACATTAAATAACATTGCACAACCAACCTCTATGGTTAATTCAGTACAAAAGAACAAGTATTAAAATGTACCAGTACTAGTGGTTTTACACAGTTTATAATCATTAATGATGAAGGAAAAAAATGTGGGGCAGTTTTTTTTTTTTTTTTCTTTTCTGTAGGCAAGTGCCTAATTACAAAGCTGCACGTTACAGGCATAATGATGTGGAATAAATACAAGAAATCTGGTAAAATATTAAACACAAACAGGTTACATGGGAACAAACTGTACAACCACAAAAGCATAAATCAACAATTTATCGTTATAAACAATGTATGTTTAGCTGTAAAATATTACGTGGAATTGCATGTACTCTTTGGGGGGCACATGTTCCAAAAGCCAAGCTAATTCCTGAGGTGGTATTATTAACTTATACAATTGGTCAACACTTCAGATTATCTTGTGCTATTAAACAGTCCCAATGTTAATATAGTTCCATAAAATGGAATTTGTAGTATTCTGAAGGCAGCAAACAAGTGATATTTTACACCATGATATTCAAATGAAATAATTCCGGTTCTCCATTTTGGTGCTACATTTGTTAATGGGCCACGGGAGTAAGGACTGGAATTTGCAGACAGAACACCACTTATGCCTGGTTTCTGTTCCCTCACAGCTCTGAGCTGGCCCAAGGCAGAACAAAGATTCTAAACTGTAAGTGCCAACACTGTAAACAAGTTTGTCTCTTTTTTCAACTAAACACTGTCCAATAACAAGGATAAGAGCCAAAGATAAGCAGGAACAGTCTCGTGTAGAACAAAAGCCAGTTTCCTCGACTTTTGGTTCAATTAATGAACAACCTTTAAATAATTAAAAACGGTCATGCTACAGTTGTGAAATTGTGCATTTGACTCAGGACACAAGTTTTTTAAAAAACGCATGGTAGAGGTAAGACTTATAAAACCACCAAAATTGTAAATGATAGGGAAGAACTTTTCCAACTCAAAGCATCAAACATACATTTCTGTGCAGAAATCTAGACAACTATACAAGATCTGGATTTAAGCAGTCATCTTTTTATTATACAACTCTATGAACATAAAATGAACAGAATGCTCTATATACTTACCTGTACATGTGAACATAACTTCTTTAGCTACAGTTATTTAATATAGGTCATACTGGATTTAACTTTACAATTCTGAATAACTATGTATAACCTTATTGCAATAAGGGCAATTTCTACAT